ATAGAGTTTTAATTTAGAAATTATAATGAGAGAGAGTGGTGAGGAGGGGGGGAGAAAAGGAGGGGGATATAAAATATTTGGAAAACAGCAGCTTTGTATACTCTTGCTGAGACTGAATTTGTGGTTAAAATCTCCCCAATGCTTAGATATCCCAGTCAGTGGTGAATGAAAAGAATCTCCCACTCCCACAATCTCCCACTCCCACAGTTTCGTTTATTACAGATGTACCCAAATCAACATTGTGTGTGTGTGTGTGTGTGTGTGTGTGTGTGTGGCGCAACCCCAAATGTACCCAAATCAATGTTGTGTGTGTGTGTGGCGCAACCCCAAATGTACCCAAATCAACGTTTTGTGTGTGTGTGTGTGTGTGTGGCGCAACCCCAAGCCGAGAAAATATGTTAGAAAATTGACTTTAAAAGTTCCCTTTCAAGCTTCTTGTAACCCCCCGTAGCCTTTTCTCTTTCTTTCATAAAGAAAAGTGAGCACCATCTGGCAATCCAGGAGGTATTTAACCTTAACTCTGGTTTAATGTCACATTGGGATAACTTGATTCTCTTTTGCCTGAGATCACCTGCCTTTAAGGAAGGCTTTGTTACCGAGAGTCAACCAGCCGATGCGACATTAGACCTTTAAAGGGGCAGGGGAAAAGATGGAAGGAAAATGACTTTGCTCAAGTCTGCACACCCCCCCCCCCCGGTGCCCGTGCATAGTGAGCCCTCCATTCCCAGCAACCAGAACCTTTATCTTGCATATTTACTCTGTAGGCTTTCTGATCTGCCGAGTGGGCTTGTGTCTTCTCTCTGCAAAGACCGACCACATCTTGTTGAGGACAGATTAAAAAGAAGGACTGATTTACACAGCACAAAGTTAATCTACGGAACTCCCTGCCACAGGAGGCGGTGATGGCCACCAACTTGGATGGCTCTGCAAGAGGACTGGACAAATTCATGGAGGAGGCGAGGGTTATGGGTAGCTACTAGCCATGATGGTGATGTCCTGCCTTCACAGTGGGAGGCAGCAACGCTTCTGAATGCTAATTGGTAGAAGCCTCAATAAGGGAGAGGGTTCTTTTGCTCGAGTCTTGCTTGTGAGTTTGTCACATGCATCTAATTGGCCCTCGTGAGAACAGGATACAGTGGTACCTCGGGTTACAGACACTTCAGGTTACAGACGCTTCAGGTTACAGACTCCGCTAACCCAGAAATAGTACCTTAGGTTAAGAACTTTGCTTCAGGATGAGAGCAGAAATTGCACAGCAGTGGCGTGGTGACAGCGGGAGGCCACATTAGCTAAAGTGGTTCTTCAGGTTAAGAACAGTTTCAGGTTAAGAACGGACCTCCAGAATGAATTAAGTTATTAAACCTGAGGTACCACTGTACTGGGCTAGATGGGCCATTGGCCTGAGCCAGCAGAGCTCTTCTTATGGTCTGATGGTTGGCGTAAATAGAAAATAGGTATAAAAGGAGAATTCCCAGGATGCCAAGATCTAGGTTTGGGGCAAATACTCTTTGGTGAGAGAACCCCAACAGAGGTTTAAAACCACAAAGTGTGGAAACATATTCTGTTAGACCTTTGAAATATGCTCTTTGGAGTGAATTCCAAGAGTTCCCCTTTTCCCTTACCATAGAAAAAGACCGCACATTTGCTGAGTTAAAAATGCTTTACTTAAAAACTCTTCCAAGGCCAGGTTCATGTGTTTTTTCCCCATACAACATTCAGAAAAATTGCATAGGCAGTTAAACTTGGTTTTGTTCCAAAGTGGTAAAAGTTCTGAAATTATTGGTAAAGGAATTCAAAAGTGGCTTGTGAGACCCATGTAGTCTCAGCTGGAGCAACCAGCTTAACCCTCCTAACATGCTGAGCTTCTCAGGTAGACTAAAGGTAGAAAAGAAAGGCTACCTATTTCCTCCCAAGGTAAGGGGAAATGGGCATAGTTAAGCCTGGCAGATCAGCTTATTCTGTGGTATTAACTCGCTCATGTATTACTTAGACCAGGCATAGGCAAACTCGGCCCTCCATATGTTTTGGACTACAACTCCCATCATCCTTAGCTAACAGGACCAGTGGTCAGGGATGATGGGAGCTGTGGTCCCAATACATCTGGGAGGCCGAGTTTGCCTATGCCTGACTTAGACTTAAGCATGTTGGTTATATGAGGCTGGTTAACCCACACTTATGATTAGATGGGCTATGGGCATGTTCCAGGAAGCTCATCTTAATTTCTTAACGAGCCAACATCTATACTAAGGAGAGATGAGTTCTGATTTGAATCTGTGATTTCTGTTCATGTATCACCCACCTTTTGGGATGTCTGGGAAGCAGCAGGGGTTATTCGGCAGAGGAGAATATTTTGCATATGCTCAGAGGCGTGTTTGCCTCATATGAAGATGGGAGAAAAAGCTCTTGGAGAAAGACATGCTTTGGGAGTTAAATGCCCAAGTATTAAACAGGTTTTTATTTTAAGCTGAGCTCTGGGATTTCTCTTCACCCATTGTTTCTCCAATTGTTTTACAACAAGGTGGCAAATGTCAGAGAGCTGTCTAACGGTTTCTCTCTTTTCCTTCCTCCTTCTTGTTTCCACAGGTCTCCCTTAAGCCACCAGCTCAGTGTAAGAGAACATCAGTATGTGTGTGGGAGGGTGGGGGGGGTAGTTTTCTGCAGAAGGAAAAGGTCAAGAAAGCCACCAAGGTGAGCTGTGCTCTCCACACTGAAGCCAGATGTCTGCAGCAGCTCAGGGTCTCTACGCCACTTCAGAAAGCACAAGGACCACCTGGCAATAAAGAGCTACAGAAGAAAGGGATAGTAACTTACATTATATAATGCATAAATTTTAACCCACTCTTTTAAAAACAGCTGCACTGGCTCCATAATAATCTGCCTGCTGATTCCAGCATCCTCTCCTCACAGTGGCCACCCAGTTGCCCCAAATGGGGAGCCCACAAGCAGGACCTGAGTGCAACAGTATTGTTCAATTGTTGTTCCCCATTGCCTGCTATTTAGAGGTAAACTGCCCCTGGGCATGGAGGTTCTGCTTTCACAATAGACCTCTGCAAAAAGAGCCCTACTGGATCAGACCAAAGGGGGTCCATTTGGTCCAGCATCCTGTTCACACAGTGGCCAACCAGATCCCCCAACGGGAAGCCTGCAAGCAGGACCTGAGCACAAGGAGAGCACCTCACCTCTCCTGTAGCACCCAGCAACTGGTATTCAGAGGCATTGCTTCCTCCAGCCATGAAGGCAGAGCACAGCCATTGTGGCTAGCAGCCCTTGACAGCCCTCAACGTGAATTGGTTTAATCTGCTTTCTAAGCAGTCCAAGTTGGTGGCCACCATTGCCCTCTTCGGGAGTGAGTTCCACAGTGTGACTGTGCGCTGCTTGAAGAAGGACTTTCTTTTATCTGTCCTGAATCTTCCAACCTTCAGCTTCATTGGACGTCCATGAGTTCTAGTGTAATTATGAGAGTGGGAGGAAAACTTATCCTCTGTCCTCTTTCTTTAGGTGGACAAGATGTGAGTTCTAGTGCCAGTGGATTCACACAAGGAACAAGATCCATCTCCTCCTCATAGCTGGACTTTACAGCTGAAGATTCCTGCTCTGGGGGCTGATGGGCTGGAGGCTTCTTCTCAGGAGTCTTGGCCTGCCCTTCTGGTCCAGGTGCCCTCTATCACGCAATCTGAACATCGCTGGCACAGGACCTCCTCCTCTTTTTTCATGTGCAAAGGAGAGCTTCACTGATGGGAGTTGCAACTCAGTTTGGCATCAGTTGCTCAGAACAGCAGGTGGTGGTTTAATTTCAAGGTGCAAGAAGACTTCAGGGAGAAGCATTGGATGGTAGCTGTGCCCTGCTTTTCAAGGAACTGTTTGCATGAGAGAGAGAGGGAGAGTAGAGACCCAAATGGCTTCATCTTTCAGAGCATCAGCGAAGAGAATCAGATTTGGGGAGGGGTGGGGAGCAGAGATATCAGCATCCATAGGAGAGAGGATACATTTTCCTGTAAGCCACAGGTGATATTACCTTTTTTGTGGCTCAAGGGCTGCATTCCGTTCCGGGCAGCTTTCCAAGGGCTGCATGCCAGTGGTGGGCGGGGCTAGCGGCAAAAGTGGGCGGAGCAACAAATGTGAATTTTTCACTTTGGTGTAGTAGGCTGGTTTCTAACACACGTGCCCTGCTCTGTTCTCCATCCAAGTAACTAAGAGTCATACTCAGAGCTCAAGAACACACCTCGGCCAAGAAAAAAAAACCCCAGGAGGGGTAAGAACATAAGAACAGCTTGCTATATCAGGCCAGTGGCTCATCTAGTGCAGGCAACATTGCGTTAGATACAGTGGTACCTCAGGTTACAGACACTTCAGGTTACATACGCTCCAGGTTACAGACTCTGCTAACCCAGAAATATTACCTCGGGTTAAGAACTTTCTTCAGGATGAGAACAGAAATCGCATGACGGCGGCACGGCAGCAGCGGGAGGCCCCATTAGCTAAAGTGGTGCTTCAGGTTAAGAACAGTTTCAGGTTAAGAACGGCCCTCCGGAACAAATTAAGTACGTAACCAGAGGCACCACTGTACACCAGAAAGCGACTTCTTCTGTCCCTTTTTCATTCAGCTCTATGAGGACTAGAATCTTACTTTAATTTTAGGGGAAGGGCAGCAGCCATCATTGCATGGGTCCCAGGTTCAAAACCTAGCCCCATCAGATAGAGCTGTCCAATAATGTTAAGAGCTGCTGCCCGTTCGTGTTGGCAATGCTAGGCTAGATGGACACTTGGTACAAGGCAGCACCTCACGTTCTTCTGTCGACATGCAGCCACCTAGAGGGGTGGGATCCTGCATTGTGGAGAGGGGAGGGTTGAACTTGATGACCTTTGGGGTTCCTTTTAACTCTACAGTCCTATGATTCCAAGTACAGCATGAATAAATTAAATATTCTTTGGGCTGGGAATTCCGGCAGTTTTCCAGGAACGAGTTGCATCAGACTTCTGCTGCTGGCAAACAGCAACTCCCTTCTCCTGACGGCATGGCTGGCTGATGCCCTCTGGCTGGGTTGGCCTCCAACCCGAGTTCCTCCTGTCGCGACATCCGCTTCAAGAAAGCCCTCTTCAAGAAGCTTCTCCCAAGATCAGGTTGGCACATTGTACAAGGTTTCTGTAGCCAAGCTCAGGGGCATAGGAAAGGGGGGGGGCGGTCTGCCCCAGGTGCCGTCATGGGGGGGGGGGGTGTGACAAATTATCAAGGAACAATTACTGCCCTACTAGGGCGGTTCATAAAAAGCTTTTTCGAAAATGCCTGCTCCAAAGGTCTTATCTTACTACACTAGGGATTATATAGCTATATATGAAATTTCATGCATATCAGTTAATATCTTGACCCTCCTCCACGAAAATAGCTGTTTACTTGGCTGTTTTCCTACGTGGTGAAGGCTGAAATTTCAATTCAGTGGAGCAGGGTCAAGATATTAACTGGCATGTTTTTTGTTTTGGTAAACCACTTTGCAGGTTTTTTTTAAATAAATAAATATAAATAAAACAACACAAGCCAAAACACAATCCATCCTGCAGATTTAAGTATCCGTCCACAGTCACCTACTTGTTATCGGAGGCCCAGAATCTATATTCCTTTGTAAGAAAATATGAAATAAAGTAAAACCATATTTACAGGCAAAAAATAAAATAAAAAATCAATTGGGGGGGGGAGTTGTTGACAAGAAATTTTCCATACCAGGTACCACCTGACCTTCCTACGCCTCTGACCATGCTGTTGTCTCCTGGAAGCTAACAGCCCCACCTGTGTTTAGCAGGACGGGAAGAAATAGCTTATGAAGGAATCGGTTCTATCACCATGGATAAACCTCTCCAAGTAGCTCTCCTGGGTAACAGCTTGTTGAGGAAGGGGAGTTGAGTGATCTGAAGTGTTTACTTTCCAGAGCATTAGCGGCAGGCTTGGGAGAGCTGGATTGTGGGAGATCATTGTTCTTTTATCATCAAAATTAAGTGTAGGGGAGAAATTAAGAACATAAAAGCCTGCTGCACCAGGTCAATGGCCCATCACCTGCTCTCATAGTGCTTTTTATAGCATGCCTGTGCAAGCAGGACCTGAGCACAACAACAACAGCCTCCCTTCCTCCTTTTGAGAGGCATACTGCTTCCAACAGTGGAAGTGGAACATAGGCATTGTGGATAATGGCCACCAGTCTTCCAGCATTCAGTTTCATTCAGTTCCACCAGCATATTCAAACAGTTGAACGATGCCTCTGTATTGAAACCTCCACATCCAACCCCCATTTAATAACCTTCAGCAAAGGAGAGTTGAAACGCAGCGAACCCTCCTTGGAGGTCTTCAAGCAGAGGTTGGCTGGTCATATGCCAGAGATTCTTTAGCTATGATTCTTGCATTGTGGGGGGTTGGACCAGATGATCCTTAGCATCCCTTTTCAGTCTATGTTTGGGGCTATATGAATATCTGTCACTCAGAGGCAATGGTGGTAGGGTGGTCACTTTCCTGTCCCCCTTGTGAATTTCCTGGAAGCGTCTGACTAGGAGAAGCAGAAGGCTGGACAAGAGTTAGACTCTTGGTCTGATCTAACATGTTCTCATGTTTTTGTTTTAAATCTGAATGCCATTTTATATTTATCCTACTTTTCTATATAAAAAGGCACCCAACAGTCCAATAAGGACATTCATCCAAGCATTTAAAACCTCAATAAGAAAGCAATGCAAGCAAATGCTCCTTTAGGAAAGGTGGAACCATCCCGCTTAGTGGAGATCCAGCTGGCAGAGATCAAGACCCCCCCCCAAAAAAGATCTCTTCCAAGAGCAGCAACAGGGCTGGCTATAGTGTTTGCCTCTCATCCCAGCCTAGGGATTCAATTTCAGGGCATGGGCTTTGCAAACCCCCCTGTTAAATTTTAACTCCTTTCACATGGGCTGCCGTGAACTTTGCCTGACATCCAGAGGCATGCGACCCTGCCGTGTTTCATCAAGTTGCACTCCTGATCTCTGCAAACAGAGGATGGTGCCCATGGCCTCAGTGCAGTTCTCCTGTGAGTGGCTGGATATTGTGGTGTTCCATGGGTTTCCATAGTTAATATATGCTTCCTCCTCCGCCACCAATTTAAGTTGGAAGTAACTGCACAATTAGAGTAACAGAATTGTAGAGTTGAAAGGGACCCCAAGGGTCATGTAGCGCAATACCTTGCAATGCAGGAATCTCAGCTAAAGAATTCCTGATAGATGGCCATCCAACCTCTGCTAAAAAACCTCCATGGAAGGACAGTCCACTACAAGGATGTCCATTCACTGTTGAACAGCTCTTATCCTCAGAAAGTAGTTCCTAACATTGAGTTGGATATTTGAAGATGGCTGCCATAATATCTTCTTTTCCAACATACCCAGTTCCCTCCACTGTTCCTCATAATGCTTGGTTTTCTGATTCTTGGTCATCTTGGTCATCCTCCTCTGCCCATGTTCCAGCTTGTCAATAATCCTTCTTAACTGTGGTGCCCAGAATTGGACCAGGACTCCAGGTGTGGTCTGACCAAGGCAGAATAGAACTGTACTTTGACTTCCCTTTATCTGGACACTATACTTCTGTTGATGCACCCTAGAATGGCATAAGCTTTTTTTGATGCTACATGACACAGCAATTAGGACAGAAAGGTTTGTGCTCCTAGGATAGCTCAGTCAGTAGAGCAGAAGACTCTTAATCTTAGGGTTGTGAGTTTGAGCCCCACATTGAGCAAAAAGATTCCTGCATTGCAAGGGGTTGGACTAGATGACCCTCGTGGTTACTTCCAACTCTACAATTCTATGAAGAGTGGAAAGAGCAAGAAGTAACCACCCTCAGAAAGGGATAACTCTGCACAATGTGCCTCTGTATGAGTCAGTGTTCAGGGCATGCCTCCTGAGATGCTACATGACACAGCAATTAGAACCTCCTCTGAGGTAAAGGAATTCTGTAAAATCCCTTAATCAGGGTGATCTGAGTGGTGCCATCAATGGGGTGGAGATGTATGGCAAAATCCCACCCCCACGCAGGTCTTGACTGGCAGGGAGGCCTGGGCAGCAACTAATGCAGAGAAACCACATGCAACCACCTTCAATGGCAAGGAATTCTCTTGTCCCCTGCACAGCATTCAAGTGGAACAGAATTACCCAGCTGAAACTGTTTGGATTAAGGCAAGCCCAGAGCATAGGCAGCTTCCCTATACCAAATCAGAGCCTTGGTCAGTCTAGTGTGGGATTACCTACACTGACTGGCAGCAGCTCTCCAGTGCTTCATACAGGGAATCTTTACTAGCTCTACCTGGAGATGCCATTGAGGGTGGAACTTAGGAGTTTCTGAGCTGCAGACCTTCCCCATGCAGCTAAAACGGTTCCCTGTAAAGCCAAGTATGATCAGTTTCAGAGATCAATTGATTCCTCCCCTCAACCCCCCCCCCCCAGGTGTAAAGAAAATATATCTTTTCCTGGTCAATTTCTATTTAAGGGTAAGAATAAGTTTTTAAGGGCCCCTCATCCCTTCCCCACTCAAAAACCTCGTTGTCTTAAACCTTTTCTTTTTATTAAAAAAATAAGTGTTAATGACATAAATTGGAAATAAATTGTTTTGTTCAGAATTCTGAAAACCACAGACCTAATTAAGGCATTCTGAATAACATCTTCATATCTGAAGAAGTGTGCATACACATGAAAGATTATACCCAGAACAAACTTGGTTGGTCTGTAAGGTGCTACTGGACAATTTATTTATTTATTTCGACTGCATTCAGACCAACACGGCTACCTATCTGAATCTTGAATAGCATTTGTGAGCCTTTAGTGCATTCATCCTGTCAGATAGTACTTAACATACTGTGCACTCCATGATAATCATTCAAAGTAATTATCCTTTGGGCTTGCAAAAGCAATTTTTTGCCAACCCAGAACTGTATGATTGAAAAGGACACTATGAGGCATAGTCCTATGAGAAGCTCATTGTGGACATGATGGAATTGTTAGAAAGGCATTGCCATCCCACCTCAGAGGTTGTGAATGGGGGACAGTATGTGTGGGGGGGTCTTCTTGTTGTCTTGGCCCAAGATGTGGTATAGTTGTTGAGTGTCAGGCTAAGACCTGGGACACCATGGTTCAATTCCCCCAGTCAGCCATGAAGCTTTCACTGGGTGACCTTAGGCCAGTTGCTATTTCCCTTGGCCTAACCTACTGTTGTGTGGAAAGCCATGGATAGCTTTGTTGTTGTTGTTTAGTCGTTTAGTTGTGTCCGACTCTTCGTGACCCCCTGGACCAGAGCACGCCAGGCACTCCTGTCTTCCACTGCCTCCCGCAGTTTGGTCAAACTCATGCTGGTAGCTTCGAGAACACTATCCAACCATCTCGTCCCCTGTCGTCCCCTTCTCCTTGTGCCCTCCATCTTTCCCAACATCAGGGTCTTTTCCAGGGAGTCTTCTCTTCTCATGGATAGCTTTACTCTCCTCCAATCCTCTTTTCAAGACATCAATGGGCTTATCCACTCTTATCTTTTGCCCAGCTCTTTCCAGGAGCTGGTCGATGCCGTAAAGCTCTATGTCTGAGTGCTGCTTTTGTTTTTGCTCCTTTGCCTGCTTTCCCTGCGAAAACTTGCTCTTTAAAGCTGAAGCACAACAAATGGCAATTCAGGTTTTGTGTGGATTGCCCTTTGCTCCAATACAGCATTAAAGAGCAGGTTTTTGCTGTGTGAAGAAGCACTTCACGAATCTTCCAGCATTTAGCTTCATTAGATGTCCAGTGTTATGAAATTGAGAGAGACTTTTTTCTGTCCAATTTCTCCATTACATGCCTAATTTAATAAACTTCTATCATGTCACTTCTTAGACATAAGAACATGAGAAGAGTCCTGCTGGATCAAGCCAATGGGAATGAGTTGCAAAAATTAACTATGCTTTGCTTTTCAGGGACAAAAAGAAAAGAAAAAGAAAAAGGGGGGGGGGGGGAGAAAGGGTCTGGATCACATGTTGACAACGTAGGAAAAACAAATAGTCTCCACTGATTCTGGAATAAATGTTGTGCATACATAGCCTCCAATCAGGTGAAAAGGCCAACTCTGAAGCAATATTGGGGGGGGGGGATTTCCTAATAGCTGTTCGACCATGGAATGGACTCCCTCGGAAAGTGGTGGACCTTCCTTCTCTGGAGGTTTTTCACGTTTGGGATTCTTTAATTGTGATTCCTGCATTGCAGTTGGTCGGACTAGATTCTATTATCTGTGCCTCGGAATTTTCATAATAGTAATTTGCTCATAAGCAGGGGAAATGGCCGCAAAGGACAAGGAGGAATTTTGCAGGCCCACCAAGCAGCGCTGAGAGCAGCGAACAGATGCAACTCATCACACTAATCAGCTTTTCCTTCCCAGAGAGGTTGCTCTATTGAGAAAGAGATGTGGGGAGGGATCACTCTGGTCTCTCATGGCAACCCTGAGATGGGGATGAGAGAGTGGTGATGGGGGTTGGGGTTGGGAGAGAAACTGGGCTTTGATTTAATTTTTCCCCATGTGCCTTTCACAGGACTCGAATGAGCAAACAAAAGCCCCCTGGGAAAAGGGGTTGCTCATTTTTCTATTCCCCCTACCAACTCCTTTTCTTTCTCATTTTTTAAAAGAAGAGGGGAAAAATAGGGTTAGAGCAAGATGGATGGTCCTCCTGGCCAATAGGAGGAAGAGCTCAGCCATCCCGGCTGTTAGCCCATTAGAGGACATTGATGATGGATGGCCCTAAACGGGGATGATCACCAGCCTTGGAAAGATGCATTCTTTTGTCAGACTTAAATCTGCAGCCTGGATTTGTCCCCAAACTAAAGCTGGTTCTCCTCAGAGTAGGACAAATTCAAGGGCTGACTTAAATCCATTGATTTCAATGGGGCAGCTTTAAGTAGGGCTGACATCAGGTTGCATTCAAGCAAGTTTTACTCAAAGTAGACCCATTGGGATTAACAGGCTGAAATTACTCCTCTTTGTGGATGTTTCAGTGTGTACCTTCTGAACAGGACCAGCACTGAAGGCGACTCACTGGATGCAATGAATACTACTATATTTTTTATTTATATGCACTATTTGTATCATGCTTTTTATATTATTGTACTTGTTTTAAAGAAATAAGGCTTGCTTCCAACGCATTTGTTGTTTAAACTGTTTTTTTATTATCTTATGTGTAAATTGCCTTGAGACAGTGGTTTGAAAGACAATTAATAAATTAATTGTAGCAACAACAACAACAACAACAACAACACAACCCCTTGCATTCTATTTTTTTGTTTCTGGGGTAAGCTAGCTTCCCTTCCCCCACTCAACCATTCTAGATATTATTTATTTTGCTTCCTTTCATTTAATTTACATCCCACTGTCTTTTCCAAGGAGATCAAGAGGGCATACGTTGTTTCCGCGCTCCTCTCGTTTAATCCCCACAACAACCCTGTGATGTAGGTTAGGCTGAGAGGCAGTGACTGGCCCCCAAGGTCATAACCAGTGAGCTTCATGTGGCCCAGCTGCAGGGATTTGAACCCTGGTCTCTCTCAGGTCCTACGAGTCTGACACTCTACCCACTACACCACCCTGGATTTCCCAGTGGTTGATGTGTAGATGATGACCTCAACTGTCCTTGTAATAGGGAAGGACCTCATGACTGCCGTGTCAAGTGCTTGAGACGCCGCTGAAATTTGCGCAACGAAACAGCATATAGGCATGCACACTGTTGTTTAGGGCTGGATTTCCTCTTTCATTTTATTGCATGTCACATTTTAAAAACTTACTAGTACTGCAATGTGTGTGTGTGTGTTTTGGGGGTCAATCCCACAGCACCTGCACCACCTCTGAACAGATTCACCCATATGGCTCTGAAACAGTGTGCAGAGCCAAAGGGTTGGCCACTCCATTCCCCACTGAAAAGCTCCCCTTTGGATGAGGCTCCCTGATGAGCTGGGCACGCCTGGGTTTTTTTGGTGATGGGGGTGGGGTGGGGTCTCTATTCTCCTTCTCCCCCATCAACCCGCTGACCTGCCTTTGACCTGTGAGTGCTTCTGTAATGGCATTGACTTCTATCCATAATGTAGCAGGGGCAAGAAGGAAGAAAAATGGTGGTGTGTGTGTGTGGAAATTAAAGAGGGAGGGCGCTGCTGTGTCCCCTGCCAAAGGGGGATTTGAACAGGCCCACCATCCTTAACAACTTGGGACCCACAATATTGCTTTACCCCATACATGCCTGCTTGACCTCTTCAACTGGCAGAACTGGCACTACTGGTGCCACATAAAACCTGTTCCACATTTGTAAGAAATAAGTCTGCACTCTTTTCACTTCCCACAAGGCACCTCAAAGTGATTTGCAATCTAATTGCATACAGTATTTGTTTTGGGGTTTTTTGGGGGGGGCAGTTTTGGTACTACTTAACTATAACCACCTCTAGAGACAGTATGCAAGAAAATCAATATAAGATGGGGGGGGGGGGAAATGGGTTAAAATAATAAAGATTTGAATTTCGTTAAAATGCCTGCAGGGTGACCACGCTGGGTCTAGTGGGGCTTCCTCCCAGGTAAGCACGCGTGGCTTTGCAGCCTTAATTGTTAAAGCAGATTGGACCCACTCGTCTCCTACCTTATTATCTGGCATGTACTCATGATATACTGCAGTGCCAGCTTATCACCATTCTATTTCCCCTCAGACAACAAGAGACTTTAAGTCTAGGGCCTACCCTACTTCTCACAAAATTGGGATTCCCAATCTACTGAGAGCCAGTGTGGTGCAGTGGTTAAGAGCGGTAGACTCGTAATCTGGTAAACTGGGTTCGCGTCTCCGCTCCTCCACATGCAGCTGCTGGGTGACCTTGGGCCAGTCACACTTCTCTGAAGTCTCTCAGCCCCACTCACCTCACAGAGTGTTTGTTGTGGGGGAGGAAGGGAAAGGAGAATGTTAGCCGCTTTGAGACTCCTTCGGGTAGTGATAAAGCAGAATATCAAATCCAAACTCTTCTTCTACTGTGGCGATCACACAGGGTTCCCGGACGTTTCACCGTCTATTGATCCCTGTGCCACCACTTTATTTCTCGCTGCCACCACCCAGGCCCTACCTGATACAATACTGAGTTCAGTCAGGGTTAAGTTAGAACATAACTTCTGTTTATTTATTGCAGTTTAACAAGCGTGTGGTTTCATAAACCGGATCGGTCAATTACAATCGTGGGGTGCCTATCCAGACCTATAACTTCCACTACCTGCTCTCACTCACTAAACCACCTCTCAGATATTTACTTGTCTTCCTAGCTCCTAACTGTTCCTGACTCAGCTTATTTCGCTACACTAACTCAACCTACCCACAGACTCTATCCCAATTCACTCCCACTCCAACCAACCACCCAACTCCCAATGAACTCCTCCTTCGTCCCTCCCAGAGCTGGTTTTATAGTCCCTCTGACTCCACCCCCCTGGGTTCTGATTGAGTAACCTGTTTAACTATTTCACCTCCAGCACTCTCATATGTTCACGTCACATCCACGAGCTCCATTTTCAAGTCCCCCCCCCCAAAGTCATTAAGACTTTGGCCTTGATCAGTCCCTCCATCGTAAAAGACCCAATCTAAATTGAAAATCAAAACCATTTGGGACTGAGTAGAGGCTTGGAGCCACGTCTAAACTTTTAAAATTCATCATTTCACCAGCTGAGACTTTGATAGCACAACCAAAGAGAATCTCCAAAGCCAAATGATATTTTACATACAGTGTGAATGTGGTAAAAGATGTGGAGTGCACTCAGCTCACAGGAACAGGCAGATAGAGGTGGTGGAAGAGAAAATTCACTGCTCTCTTTAAATAGATGCAGGCTTTCGCAGCACCCAGACATGTTTTCCTGAAAACTGGGTGCGTTGTGATGAGACTTTGCCGGATTGCATCAAATCTGGTCATTAGAAAATCAGGAAACTCTCTTCTTTTGTTTTCCTTTGGTGTCCTCTGCTCTGGTGCACTATTGGGCCACCAAGGATCTATCTCATTCTCTCTTTCTCTCTCTTTCAGGAAGGTGATGGATGGTTGGTGAAGGACCCTGAGTGAGAGGCAGGGAAGGGAAGACCTCCCAGCATGAGAAACCTGGAAAAGAAAGGGAAGTCCCAGGTGAGAGAGGACTCTGTGCTTTCATTTCTCTTTCTCTCTCAGTTTTCATTTTTGTTCGGATTAGTTTCTTTTATTTTCTTGTATCATGAAAAAGCTTTAATAAAACCTTATTTTTTAAAAAGAAAGGAAATAAGCAAACAAGGAAAAGAGGCGTAGTGACGGTTTATTTGTTGGTTGCTTATTGCATTTATATCCTACTTTTTCCTCCCAGGAGGTTAAGGTGGCACACACAATTCTCCCCTTCCTCATTCAATCCCCACAAGAAAAAGTCTCAAAGTGGCTCCACAATATGAAATTAATTTATTTCATAAAATTTATGCACCGCTTGATCGTAAAAACAAAAAACCTCAAAGCAATATATAAACAAGATAATAAAATTGTCAGTAAGAAGAACCAACAACAATACTTTTCATTGCTATTCTTAGCAGTCTCCTCCTACTGATGGTTTTATTGTATACCTTTTGTATACCTTTGTAATACTTCTGTTGTTGTTTTTTAAATTTGCTATACTGTTTAGAGATGCTTTATATTTTAAGTGGTATAAAAACAATCCTAAAAGAGTAAATAAAACTTTTCTCTCTCCTCTCTGCCGGAAAGGATATGATTTCAGACACAGGTGTGTGTGCATGTGTGTGTGTTTGGGGTTCCTGTTTAGGGGGAGGGGAAAATTAATATCCCATTTTTATTATTATTAATGGCAAGCGTATCTTGAGAGACTGTCTATTAAGCCTCAGAAAGTAGGTATCTCAGAAAACCTCCACCTGCATTGATGCTGAAATTCAATCCAAGTGCAGGACATTTGAATGGGTGTAGAATTTCTCTTCCTGAGAATTGTGGCTTTTGCTGTTTCTTTTTAATGCAAGTTTCTCTCTCTTAAGATGGAGAAGGTGTGCATGAAAGTGTGTCCATGCATTAGGGGAGGGGGCAAAGTGTGGTGAAACTTCTGCAGCTCCTTGTCCCCTTCCCATTAGCAGCTTAGCTCACAGGTAGCCCAGGTGGTACCCACCAGTTGTGGTTAGACCACGACACCACCCACGGTTGTTGGTTGAAATCAGAGCAGGAGTCGGGATTTTCTGTTATGGCATCAGGGACTCCCAGGTTCCTTGCTCTACTTGTGTCAGGTGAGAAAGTCCAGTTACCTGTTCAAGAAGGGTTCTCCTCTACAGCATCCATTCAAAGAGGTTCTACTTTACAACATCCAGAGGGCACAGGTTGCCTACCCCAGGACCCAACCCTTAATATTATTGACATGATAAAAATGATGATAAAAATGTAACCATAAGCACCTAAGAAGAGCCTGCTGGATCAGGCCCAAGGGGTCCATCTAATCCAGTGTCCTTACAGAGCCTTCTCCTCTCCTGTGGTTTCTAGCAACTGGTATTTAGAAGTACTGCTGCCTCAAATTATAGAGGAATAACACAGCCATTATGGCCAATAGCCCTCATTAGCCCTTTTCTAGTCCTCTTTTATAGCCATCTAGGTTGGTGGCCATCACTTGCCTCCTGAGGAAGGGAGTTCCATAGTTTAACTCTGTGCTGCATTTTATCTGTCCTTCTAGCATTCTGCCGATTTCATTTTTAAATAATGATTACAAAATATTTGCATTTCTTATGGCAAATAGAATGAAAAAAATCTTAAAAGAATTTATTCACCATGACCAAGCTGGATTCCTTCCAGGCAGACAAATCAAAGATAATATTAGAAATCTATTGAACATTATAGAGTTATTTGGAAGTGAGAAATGAAAAAAAAAGCAGCATTAATGTTCATAGATATGGAGAAAGCATTTGATAATGTTTCTTGGAGCTTCATGAAAAAAGGTGATGGAGAAGATGGGATTTGGAGAAAAATTTAATAGGGGAATGCAAGCTGTTTACTCAGATCAAAATGCAAAAATAATTGTAAATTGGGTGATAACGGATAAATATAGAATACAAAAAGGAACGAGAGTCAGAGAAAAACTTTTCTCTATCCACTTCCTCACCTTTTCTCCAAACTAAGAAGCCCCCAATGCTGCAATCTTTCCTCATAGGGGAGTCACTCCAACCCCCCCCTTCATTTGGGTTGCTCTTTTCTGAACGGATACAACCCTGATTTCCCATTTCCGTTCTCTTTTGGGCTGGCCCTCGTCTCCTTCGCCTACTGTCTCTTGTCAGAGAAAGCAAGAGAACTGTTTCCAGGTAACCTTCCAGGGAGAGTCAATCAATGTTTGTAAAATGAAAAAAGACAAGTAAGCGGCGACATGATAGAGGTTAATAAAGTTATCCTCAGCATAGAGAGAGTGGATAGAGAAAAGTTTTCCTCCCTTTCTCAAAACACCTAGAACTTGGAATACTCATGACGGATGAAAGAAAGCCTTCCATCATAGTTAAAACTATGGAACTCGCTCCCACAGGAGGCAGTGATGGCCATCAACCTGAATGGCTTTAAAAGAGGATTGGACCAACTCATGGAGAAGGAAAGGGCTACTGATGGCTGCTAGCTATGCTCTCTCTCCACTGCAAGTAGTACAGTGACAGTAATATGAATGCCATTTGCTGGAAACTGCTGGAGGGGACAGTGCTCTTGTGCTCTGGTTTTGCTTGAGGGTTTCCCAGAGGCATCTGCACAGCCACTGTGAGAACAGGATACTGGACTAGATGGGCCTGATCCAACACAGCTCTTGTTATGTTCTTATGCAAGAGCTACTCTGGTAATGGGGTGTGCGTGTGCGTGAGTGAGTGCATGAGTATGCATCACTGCCAACTTTTGAAAATGCAACAGAGGACTTACTCCCTGCTCCCCCATCCTCTTCTGGAAATTCCTGCTCCTTGACCACAATGTTTGACCCAGCCAAGTAAAGGAAGTACATGACAGGATCTTGAGCATAACCAGACAGGATATTTTCAGATTCATTTTATGTTCTTGAACATATGCTAAAACAAACAAACAAAAAAATAATTAATCTGGCAACATTTTAAGGCTAAAGCAGGCTAAATCTGCCATGACTATCTCCATGCATCCAGCATCTGCTTAGCTCACTGGTAAATGGTACTACAGCTCTCACAAGGCCTCTTCGTCCTGAACTATGTTTTGCAAGGCTCATCTTAATTTGATTGCAAAGGAGGTGACTTCCCCAGAGCTGGGCTTATTCTAGGTTTGGGGTTGTTGTTGTTTTTTTGCAGCTTATCCGAATGGCTGAGGAGGCTCGCAGTTAATCAAGATTTCAACATGGAACACTGGAAAGAAATTGTCATGACTCCCTGCAAAGAATTATGGGAAATCAGAAAGCTGGTGTAAACTATTTATCTCATTTATTTCAACCATTTGTATACTGTACTGCTTAGTTAAAGCAGACCAATTCCGCATTGCAAAGATGTCTGCAGACAAGAGGTCTGGCAACATCAACCTGTGGGGAGTCCCTTGCAGACAAACGAAAGGGTCTGGAGCAGGGGTCGGCAACCTTTTTCAGCTGTGGGCCGATCCACAATCCCTCAGACCATGTGGTGGGCCGGACTATATTTTTTTGGGGGGGGAGGAGAACAAATTCCTATGCCCCACAAATAACCCAGAGATGCATTTTAAATAAAACCACACATTCTACTCATGTAAAAACACACTGATTCCTGGACCGTTAACGAGCCGGAATGAGAAGGTGATTGGGCCGCATCCGGCCCCCGGGCCTTAGATTGCCTACCCCTGGACTGGAGCATGGGTTGGCAAACTAAGGCCCGCAGGCCGAATCAGGCCCAATTGCCTTCTAGATCCGGCCCGTGGATGGTCCAGGAATCGCCGTGTGGATCACCAGTGGGTGGATCGCCAGTGCGCACGTTCTTTCCCTCTCCCTCACACAGCGGTGCTTTTCTCCTCAGCAATGGAACAATCTTGTCCTATACCTGGCGCCGTTGACAGTGGGAGTCCGCTCACCCGCCTGCCTGCCTCAGCAGGGTGGCACTGTGAAGGGGGTGTGTGACTCTGGCTGGTGGTTGCTGCTGCCTTTTCCTCCTGCTCCTCTTCCCTCTCCCTCAGTCTGCCCTTCCTTCTCCGTGCCCCTTTTCCACACCGCTTCCTCATGCTGCCTGCCTCCCTCCCTCCTTCATTCCTCCCATGGCATTCAGGTGGGTTGTTGAGGAGGCCGTGGCTGCCGCTTGCGGGTTGGCGGATGGCTCTGTCTTCTCCTCCACGTTGCCTCTCCATCCGTGGCTCCTCTGCCAGGGCTGCTGCTTCTGTCTCTGCCGGCCAACACAGCCTCCTACCCCGCCATGGCTCCTGGCTGGCTGAAGAAGCCCAACTGCAGCTATTGGTACAACAACTGGGACAGGTAAAGCGAAGCATCTTCAGGCCTCTTTGCGGGCGGGTGAAGATCATTCACCCCCCCAATATAGTTTGGCCCCCCACAAGGTCTGAAGGACAGTGGACCGGCCCACTGCTGAAAACGTTTGCTGACCCCTGGTTCTCTGGCACTGGGGGGCAGAGAGTAGGTAGGGGCATGGCTGGTGCGCATCCTGAGGGCATGGCGCACTGCCTGCGGGGGCGGGGCACCCAGCATGGGCGGGGGGACAGCCGCTATAGCACCCCACCGGGATCGTGCTGCAGGGGGCGGTGCGCTCCCCCCGCACTCCTCTTCCTCCGCCAGTGCCCCTGGTCTGGAGGCAGACAGTCAGGTCATGCATCCACAGCAATGACCGGAGGAAAAATGACCACTGGGAGGAGCGCAAAGAGAAGAAGTGCCCTGGTGCATCTACAGCTGCACAACTGGATGCCTTCATCTGCCCCAGCTGTAACAGCTCTCCCACATCAGTCACTACAGCCACAGCCGGTGCTGCAACCTTTCAACAACTTGACCTCACCCCCAAAGGCACACGCCTCCTTCGTCTCCCAAGACGGATGCCAGCGAAGTCAAAGCAGACTCTTAAGTGGTGTGCAAGTGACAGTAAGGCTAAAAATGGCTTAAAACTATAAAGTAAGAGTTCACTTAAAAAGTCTGCTGGAATAAAGTTTTCAGTGAGTTCTGCAGGGAGGGAGGGCTACCATCCTAAGCACATGGCTCCTGGTGGGTATACATGGTGTAGCTGAGCCGTGGAGAAGGGAACTAACTCCTCTCAAGATCTCCATGAAAAGGCAGGGATTAAAGGTATCCTGGACCCAAAGGGCCTTGTAAATTAATACAGTAACCTTGAACCTGGCCCAGTAGCATTTTGGGTAGGACCTTTTTGAGAGCGGGAATGATGTGCTGGTCTGTCCTCATCAACAGTCCAGCTACAGAGTTTTGCACCAGCTGGATGAAAATATAATAAATAATGGCAAATTTAATCAAGTGAGAGGAAGGGAGCCTAGGGTATCTGCAGTAGTGTATTGGAAAAAATCAGAACCACGAGGTTCCTCCATGAGAGTCGCAGCCATGCCCCCTCGCAGCCACAGCCCCTTCTACAATTCTATAACTTCCTAAGGTTATACAATAAACTTATAACTATTCAATAAAAGAATCCATTTATCCATTGGACTTGTTCTTGTTACAAATGTATTTTGTAAATAAAGTTTATTAAACAGCTGCTGCTAAAAAAAGATAACGAGCAGTGAATGGGGAACTGGGATCTCTCTAGATATCGTTCAAGATGGTAATAACTTTATTTTTTAATGTTTTTAAATGGTGATGAAGGACATCGGCAAGTTTCTTTACACTGTTTCTGTAAACTGCAGGTAGAAGTACTAACCACAGAGAAATTCAAGCAAAATGCTTTTAATGGGGATACTCTATAGACCACTGATATGGTGCCCTCCAAAGGATTTGGACTACAATTCCCATTAGTTGGAACTGATGGGACTTGTAGTCCAGAGCATCTGGACGGCACCATATTAGTGAAGAAAAAACAATGCTAGATAACTTGTTTAGGGAAGTTTTTAACGACTGATGTTTTAATGTATTTTTAATCTTCTGTTGGAAGCCGCCCAGAGTGGCTGGGGAAACCCAGCCAGATAGGTGGGGTAGATATAATAAATTAATAATAATAATAATAATAATTAAAGGATGCATTGCAACCATCCATGCAAATCTCCATGGGTTGCCTTTCAGCTGGATCTACTATCTTCTGTGCCTGTACATGGACAAATAATTTGGCATGGTCCAATATCCCCTTAAAGTTATGTTTCTCTTGAAGTTCCATTGTACATAACAGGACTTGCACCCCATTCTCTTGAAGCAGAAGCACCTTGCATTTTCAGTGTGCCTGAATGCTTGGCCTTGGAACAGAAAAAACAACTCCTCCTAGGCGTTCTTCCCATGCATCTTCTCCAGAGGGACCCTGGGGCCAGGAGATGGCCTGGGCCAAAAGGCAGAAAGGTGGAGCAGATCCCCAGTGTGCCAGTGAGGGAGAAGATGTGATCCTGAAGTTGTGCCTGGAAGTGGCTGCAGAGGCTTTTTTGGGGGACTGGGGTGTGGGCTTGAAGTTTCTGACCCACAACCAGAGAGGCTGAACCTGTGAGCTTAGCACTGAATGGGCTGTTAAATTTGCTTGAACTGAGGACTGTGTGAAGATCCCATGAACAAGGAAATCTGTGCAGCTGTGTGATTTACTTAAGAAGAAGAACTATTTTCTATTACTGGGGAATGATCAGGAGCTCACCAAGTTAGTGGCTAAATATGTCTATTTGGTTTTTTGTGGTCGAAATAGACTGCAGACGCCTGATCTCCCTGGAGACCTTGAGATGTGGCGATAGACTGCTCTGCCTCCTTTCTTTTAGCAAATGTTTTGTGCCACTGGGGAAGTGGTATTGAGTTGTTTTGAATGTATGTATGTGATGCCAATAAAAGGTCTGATATATATATAAGATGAAGAACTGGGTGGAAAGCCCATACAGGCTATTGCAGAGGGGCTCGTTTCTGTTCTTGGGACTGTGGACTGATTTGCAAAGAGATTCTTTTCTGCAAATTAGCAATGGAACTGGAATGTTGTTAATTCCTGTCCCCCCCCCCTTAGTGTTTTTGATGGTGGGAACTGGGAAATGCATTTCATTAGAATCACTCGGTAATCTTTGTTCATTGGAAAGCTGTCTTTGAAATATAGACACTTTTTGGGGGGGCGGGAATATATTTTTATTGATACTTACCCAAAGGTTTACAAAAGTTCATACTCAATACAAAGTATCTTTTTATCATACACCAGGATAAAAGAAATAATTTTAAAATCTAATCTAAAAAAGAACAGGAGCAAAACAAAAAGGAAAAAAGGAAAAAGAAAATAAAAGAAAAAAGAGAAAATAAAATGGAATAAGATAAAAACATGTTCCTCCATCCTTCACCTAAATATAGTATTAACCACTCATTAACATCTAACTGTTCTATTTTCTATAAGCCAATCTTTTTCCATCTTTAAATCCAGATATTACACATTCATTTCATTTTCTCTTTCACGCAAAAAGTCCATAATTGTTTTTGAAATGTAGAATTGACTGCAGTGTGTACCCAGAAGGAGAGAGGAGACCGGGAGGATTCCTGAGAAATGAGAAATTGCTTGGTTGGGTTAAACAGTGTCACTGTTTTTGATTATGTGTTTTAATGCCTTTTCTAACTCTTCTGTTGCTGTTTTATTGAGAGGTTTATCACACATCTGAGGTCAGATGTGATTTTCTAGGGTGGATATTGTTACGGGTTTGCAGGGGCCAACAATCCCCTAAAATTCCTGGGTGCCAGCTTCCCCCCTTAATTTCTGAAATTACCAAATGTGCAGTTTGAAGTCAAGTCAACCTGCTCAGGAGCTGAGCTTGAAGACGTGCCATCCAAGAATAAAGATATCAGAATCATTACCCTGACAAAAGGTGATACATTCAGCATCAGACAAGAAAGGGGGAAGCTGCCAGGATTATAGGGGGGACATGATGTCACCACAGGCAAATGTGCCTTTTGCAGAAGGCATTTGAAATGAAGGTTGCCAGGGTGATGGGGGAGATGCTGAAAGTGAAAGGGGAGGAGTTATTTTTTGCAAAGACTGCTGGGAAGAAGATGGAGGAATAAGGCAATTCTCCATGTGGAAGAGGCAGCAAGCAAGACTGGCTGCTGGTTTGGACCTAAGCTAGCTGAAGCTATGAGAAGAGCCATGAGGGACAACCTTGGAGCCAGTGGCGTAGCGTGGGTTGTCAGCACCCGGGGCAAGGCAAGTAATTTGCGCCCCCTAACCCGTGGATTTGCGCCCCCTAACCCTAACCCCCAGATGTTGCGCCCGGTGCGGCCGGCCCCCCCTGCACCCCCCACGCTACGCCACTGCTTGGAGCATAATGTTCTGCACCCCCTCCATTGAAGGCTAAATGTTGTTGTTGTTTCAATTTATATACTGCCCTTTACCAAAAGATCCCAGCGTGGTGCACAACATTAAAACGTATAAATGATAAAAACGTAATAAAAAGCATACTGACAGACTAAACTAGTCATCATAGGTAGCACTTTGTCCTGGATCGTAGGCAAGTCAATTGGAAAATGGCAGGTTTTTGTAAAGCTCAACAATTTTGGGGCTGTCCTGGTTTTTACTTTTTGAAAAATATCAAAACCCTATCATAATAACAGTCATCTCCTCCGCACTTTTACAGACCATAGATTATTTAATAGCCACAAGCCTGGTAAAGAGGAATGTTTTTGTCTGGTGCCTGGCCCTAAAGACATGTAATGATGGCGCCGGGTGAGCCCCTCTGGGGAAAGCATTCCACAATTGGGGAGCCACTACAGAAAAGGCCTGTTATCTTGTTGCCAAGCTCCAAACCTCTCTGGGATGGGGGACATAGAGAAGGGCCTCAGATGGTTTATATGTGTAAAATAAACCATATTTCTTAAGGGCGCTAGTCTCCACTGTGTCTTGATTTCCCAATGGAAACACAATCCCACATGGGCACCTAGAATCCTCTGGCTTCTATTGCTCAGCAGAGATTGGGTGTGGTGTGTAGACTCTCCTCCATTCACTCTGATTGGCTCTAGCCAGCACAAAGGGTGAGAAAAGTCTGTGGCTAAATATCTCCCCCTTCATGCTAAGTGGGTGGCTATATTGGAAACAGGGACCATGTTGCAGAAATAGTAGTGTGTCTTGGAACCCCAGCCCCTGACATCTATACCTCTATGTCCTCCTCACCAACCCAAGTTCTCAGGAGGCTCAGTCTGTAGCATTGATGCTCCCATTGAAGAAAAGGTGATCTCAGTTCATTTCTCTCTCTCTCTCTCTCTCTCTCTCTCTCTCTCTCTGTGTGTGTGTGTGTGTGGTGACAGGCAGAACTTGTTTGTTTTTTTAATATAGTGATGAAGCGCAAGGAAGGTTATCTGAGGAATCGTGACTCACAAACCTTTCTGCCGTGTGACTCCAATATGTTGACAAGCAATTGCAGGAGAGAATGAATTTACTTTGGTTACTAGGAAGGCTGCAGGAGGCGGAACATAGATGCAGTGAGCTTTGGGAAGGAAGCCTTGGCAACCACATAGGGTTGTATACAATGCCAGCCATTCTCAGAGTAGACCCGATAAAGTCAATAGGCATGATTACCTTAGTGTCATTCCTTTCTGAGGAAGAACTGAGTGAAACTTAGTTGGATTCAAGCCCACTTTTCTACATAATGCTCAAATTTTGGAGGCAAAATGGTAGAATCATAGAAGCACATAATTGCAGGGGGGGAGTACTCCCAAGGCTCATCTAGTCCACCCCCTTGCAATGCAGGAATCATAGCTGAAGAATCTCCTACAGATAGCTATCCAACCTCTGTTTATAAACCCCGAAGAAAGGAGAGACCTCCATCTCCCAAGCTTGTAGAATCATAGAAAATAGAGTTGCAGAGTTGGAAGGCCCCCTGCAATGTTAAAGAATCCCTGACCAACAGCCACCCAACCACTGTTTCAAAACCTCCAAAGAATGAGAGCCCCTCACCTTCCATGGTAGTCCAACCCATTGTCGAATGGCTCTTGGTTTCAGAAAGTTATTCCTAATGTTTAGTTGGAAACTTTTTTCTTTTCATTTGAGTCCATTGTTTTGGGTCCTATCTTCTGAAGCAGCAGAAAACAAGATGGCTCCATCTTCCATGCTATAGCTTTTCAGATATTTGAAGACATCTATAATGCCACTTCTCAGTCTTTTCTTCACCAAGCTAAATATCCCCAACTCCCTCAACCACTCCCATTTACAGACCCTCTACCATCTCAGTCTGCACATGTTCCAGCTTGTCAACTTCCTTCTTAAATCATGGCATCCAGAACTGGAAACATGACTCCAGGTGTGGTCTGACCAAGGCAGAATAGAGTGGTACTATGACTTCCCTTGATCTGGACACTAGACTTCTTGTTGATGCCGCCTAGAACAGCATCAGCTCTTTTTTTGCTGCTGCATCACACTGTTGACTCAAGTGAAGCTTGTGGTCCACTAAGACCTCCAGATCCTTTTCATATGTTCCTGCTGTCAAGCTGGGTGTCCCCCATCTTATATTTGTGCAACTGGTTATTCCTGCCTAAGTGAAGAACCTGATATTTGTACTTACTGAATAGAGAGTCTGAAGGTTCCCCAGGTTGCCATTCCCAGGCCCAAATGGAGAGAATCATTTCCATGTGACTTGATTGGTAGATTTACTGTTAGAAGAGCTAGCAAAGTAATTAATTACACTCCAGGTACAAGATCTACTTACCGTCAAGTTAGAATGCTATTAATTATTATTAACTAGGATTTGTACAACACACACCTGGCATGCAAAGTGCTTCATGTGCTTTATATCAATGATGTGATGCTCAACACCTGTGAGCCACAATAGTACCAGTGTTCAGAGTCAAGGAACAAAATATGGGAGTAGAGCAAGGGTAAACACAGACATGCCCCCCCCCCCCCCCGCAGGCATTCAGGATCATATGGCTGTCTACCAAGACTGGAGTGACTTTCTTGATGTTGGTGGGCTCCCAGTTCCTGTCAGCCCCAGCAGCCATCATGACCAGTGATCAAGCATGTTAAGGAACAGGCGTTGTAAGTCCAGCAACATTCAGAAGACACCAGGCTGTAAAAGGCTAGAATGGACAGATCCTTGGTCAGATTTCCTTGCCTGTGGAAAGGGTTTAGGCTAGAGCTCTCCTGGACAGGCAGGGTTGCATTTAGGCAAATTTTAGACACTGAACTTTATTATTGCTAATTTATCATTACTAAAAGGATTACTGTTATTTCATTTTAGAAGTGATCTTTATACTATAATTTTTAAATTGTACTGACTGTTGAAGTTTTTACTATGAAATTGATTCAGTATCTTAAAGGAAGTGATTCATATTGTTGTTAGTTGGCTTCCATTTTTCTTAGGAGACAATGGAGGAGTGTGCCTTCAGAGGTAAAGTCAAGCTGTTAGAGAGTTACTGTGCCTGCTGTGGCTGTAGAGACCGATAGGGGAGAGACATGTTTAATTGCAGCTGGGGCAGATGAAGGTGTTCGGTTTCACTGCTTCAGGTGCACTATGGCATTTCTTATCTCTGCACTCCTCCCAGCAGTCATTCCTCCCCTGGTCACTGCTGTGGATACACAACCTGACTGTCTTTCTCCAGGTCCTGTGGCCATTCCCACATGGCAGGATTCATGTTGCCAGCCTTCATGTCTCATTTGCAGACATCTTTATAATGCAGAGTTGGTCTGCCAACAAGCCTAGTGCCTGAGGCCAGCTCCCTGTAAAGCTCCCTAATAAAAATAAAACAAAATTATTTCACAATTAAAGACAGTTTAAAACAGCCGTCAACCCATTAAAGCATTAAAACTGGTGCACTTTTCCCCGCACCTCCAGATACACAACCAGCTTGTTTCATAATTCTTTGTGCAAGGGTTCCTCAGGCAGCACCTAGTTCAGGGCGATGTCTGGTTGGCTGGGGAGGCTGA